TATGGACACTATACAACGTTTTCATAAGAAAGTTCCAACTTTCCATGGAAAACTCCCAACATTCTCATTATAGTCAGATTTCCTGTTATTCAAATTCCAGAAGATTATAAGAAAACCATTAATATCTCTTAATGTGACATCTAATGTCAGAGCACCCTAGAACACATCTCTAACTTAAGCCAAGTACATAGTTTTTCAAACTTGTATTATTTCTAGCAGAAAACACATTACATAACTGTTCTGAGCTTCAAAAGTTCAGACTGCGAACACAAAATGGCTTCAGTTCGGCTCTTCACATTCTCAGGTGTAATAACCAAATTTTCACCTATAACACAAATGGATCAAGGTTACCTGTTATCTCTGATGCTACTTTTGCTTTCAGATGTACTTTCCCCCCCTCATCCACCACCACTCTATGATGAAGGACAGAAAAGAATGCCCCAAATACAGGCCTGAACTGATTTCTTGCAATTTACAAGAGCCGCGGTGGCGTAGTGGTTAGAGTGCAGTACTGCAGGCTTCTTCTGCTGCCTGCCTGCTGCCTGCAATTTGGCAGTTCGAATCTCACCAGTCTCAAGGTTGACTCGGCCTTCCATCCCACCGAGGTGGGTAAAATGAGGACTCAGATTGCTGAGTGCAATATGCAAACTGGGTGCAATATGTCAATTGCTTAGCGAGGACTGTAAAGCGGTATATAAGCCTAAGTGCTATTGCTATATGCTGCTACTTCTTAATCTCTGTTAATTGACAGCAGTGTTCCAGAGTTTAGTTAGGCAGGGATTTAATTGGATTTCCAACCTAACCTGAGAACTGAGCCTAAAACCTAGAACTTCAATCAATTTCCTTGGCTATTCCTGAGATTCTAGTATTATAAGAGGCAAATAATTGTTTCTATCCATTTCTGGCTCAACTGGCATATTCTGTCACACCTGTATTATATTCACTTTTAGTTGTTTAATTGGGGTTTTTTGGTCTCCTTGAGTTAGTTATGGATTTCTCATGATTGCCTGGACTAGTTTTTCTTGGCAAGGTTTTACAGAAGAGGTTTTGTTCCATATTAAGCAGGCTTGAAACCCTGCATTCCTATTGGTCTACAAAGCGAACTATCTGATTGGACAGCCAGATGGCTGTGATTGGCTCGCTAAGAGTCTACCGCGATTGGATGAAACCAATCGCGGGAAACTCAAAGCGATGTCATTGGCAGCCTAGCCGTGGCTAGCTCTATAAAAAGAGCCGCCGCGAACGCTTTCACTCACTCAGATCTAGCCTGTAAATAAAGAGCTGTTGTTCACTTATTCTGAGTCTCTCGTCTCTATGAGCCCAACCTTCCAGACTTAACAGGTTTGCTATTAACTTCTTCTTTCTAGAGCTGAGAGAGAATGACTGACCCAAAGTCACTCAGCTAACTTTAAGGTAGGACTAGAACTCACCCTCTCCCAGTTTCTAGCCCAGTGCTATAATTACTATACTAAAATGGCTCTCAGTTGGGTTTAATCAGAGTTTAGATACACAGAGACAGTATACTTTGGATTAGGAAGCATTTGCAGCATGACTGATTATTGGACAAGGACAGCCTAGTCAAATCCAACAAAGCATTTATTTTGTCCTTTTGGTTAACAGTCCTTAGAACTAAGAATTCTTAGATTTGATCTCTTTAATCATTTCATCCATCATGGAATTGAGGAGCAAATGGAAATATATGCCTTCTTTGTGATTTAGCAGTCCATCGTGAAGTTACATGAGTCTAAAGTAAACATTTGTGCGGATGACTTCCTATGTTAGCCAAGAATAAGTAAAAACCACAATACTGCAGGTTTATAGAAATCAAATCATGCCTTCAGGTTACAGATGGATTCCAATGTGTCTGCAGTATTCACAGGCCATAAAATAATTATTAAATGGTAAACCTGGTTTCTAGTTTCTATAAAAATGTATGTAGAAACATATTACATAGAAACATATAGAAAAGTTTCTGTAAAACCTTCTATATTTTCCATAGTTTATATTAGTTTTATATCTTTATATCAGTGGTGGGATTCAATTTTTTTTATGACCGGTTCTGTGGGCGTGGCTTGGTGGATATCGCATGGCTTGGTGGGTGTGGCTTGGTGGGCATGGAAGGGGAAGGATACTGTAAAATCTCCATTCCGTCCCCACCTCTGGGGGAAGGTTACTGCAAAATCCCATTCCCTCCCCACCCCACTAACCTACTTTCCAGCTCTGTTCTCCAGTGCGGGGCAACAAAAGAAGACCCAGCCGATCAGCTGGGACTCAGGAGGTGGAGAATAGATGGGGGCGGGGCCAGTCAGAGGTGGTATTTGCCAGTTCTCCGAACTACTCAAAATTTCTGCTACCGGTTCCCTAGAACTGGTCAGAACCTGCTGAATACCACCCCTGCTTTATATATGTAAATTTTAATAACATCATTATTAAAAAAGGAAGTGTGGGACAGATATATAAGACAAGATGAATAATTGCTGGACCAAAGATTAAAAGAGAAACTTTTAAAACATGAGAATTTGCTGATGACTGGGTGATAATTTTGGAAGATCCTCTGGAAGGAATACAAATACTAATGTAAAAATTATCAGATTTTGTTGTATTAGCTGGATTTAAAAAAAACAAAAACAAAAGAAAGATGTTAACAAAGAAGATGAACATCGAAAAGCAAATGGAAAAAATTGCTTTAATATTGACAAAAAGTTAAATATTTCTATATTACAATGACTAATATGAATTGCATAGCATACCAGAATAATTATGTTAAGACATGGAATGAAATTAAAAAGGACATGTTAATATGGAATAAACTACATTATCAATGTTAGAGAGAATTTATTTGATAAAAATATTTTGCCAAGATGATGTCTTTGTTTCAAACAGTAACTATTTTGACAACGGATGTATTATTTAACTAACAGTTCCCAAAATTTCCGACTCCATGGACCAGCAGCAGTGTGGGGTACGGTGGGAGGAGGTTCAACCTGGAAATAAGGAGAAATTTTCTGACAGTGAGAGCAATCAACCAATGGAGCAGCTTGCCTTCGGAAGTTGTGGGAGCTTCATCACTGGAAGCTTTCAAGAGACTGGACTGCCATCTGTCAGACATGGTGTAGGGTCTCCAGCTTGGGCAGGGGGTTGGACTAAATGACCTACAAGGTCCCTTCCAACTCTGTTAATCTGTTAAGGATGGATGGTTTCGTGCCCATGTGTACAACGTGCAAATGAAACTTCGGTACCGGGCCGTGGACCGGGAGCTGAGGATCCCTGATTTAAACAATGGCAGAAAGATATATCTAAGTTTGTATACAAAGGGGTAAAACGAAGAGTTAACTATAAAGTGCTTTCCATATGCAAAGGATGGAAAATATTGGGATTACCTAATTTGAAGTAGAGTTTGCTGAGAAATAAAAGAATTTTAGAATTAGAAGAATATGACCTGAGATTTGGATGATATGGTTTTCTATCGTATGATAAAGTTAAGCTTGGTGTAGATTTAGAACTGCCTTATTAAGAATATGGAACTAAATATGGAACTAAAATAAGCCCAGATTGTGCCTGAAAATGCCTTTAGAAAGGAACACGGGGAAAAAAAGACGAAAGCAAACTAGAAAGTGATTGTAGAGATTTAATTTACAAAGTTTTTCATATATACAGTTAAGAGAAAGATTTAAGGTACATAATAGGACACGAAATTAAGCACATAGCACTTAGACTTATATACTGCTTCATAGTGCTTTACAGCCCTCTCTAAGCGGTTTACAGAATCAGCATATTGCCCCTAACGATCTGGGTCCTCAATAATGAACATGCAATTGTAAAATGTATAAACTTTAATTATAAACAGAAGAACAAATGAAAGACTGTATGATAAAATGCTTACAACTTTGTCCAGGAAAACTTTGGACAACTTTGGACAATATACTAATGGACAGTGGGAAAATGTGTGGTTAAAAGGATCAAGGCTTACATTTTGTTATAACCTAAAAGAATTTTTTTAGAAAATGATATACCTCTGCTATATAACTCAAGAAAAATTATTTGGAACTTCACATTTATGTTACAAAGGGGGAAAACATGAAGGGTAATTTTAATATGTCTACAAGCCTTCTGGTATAAACTTATACTTCACTATCTTATCTTTTGTTTCCCTTGAACTCAACTATTTCTTCATTATTTGTCTCCAAAAATGTTCATTTCTTTTTTATTATTACTGTAATATTAACTTTTTCCCTTTATTATTCTCACATCCTTTCTGTAATACTACTGTTTCCATCTTACAATCTCCTATCTTAACATCACTTTTTAGTTTGAACTTTCTTGCTTATCTTTTGATTTTAACTCAGTATTACTTATATTTTTCTGTTTGTCCTGATACATTTCCCTTTTGAAAATTATTACTTTAAATACTTAAGATAAAGTTTTCTAAAGTACTATTGCAGTATTTGTAGAAATCAGCAAGGATGTCCTATTGCTATCACTATGTTATCTTTATTTACTTTTAATTTTCTTATATTGTATGAAGCTCAGGGAAAAAGCTTTATTTGAGTAATACAGGGAAGAGAGAACTCAGCAAGAATTCTAGTGAATGCTAGGATAGTGGATGAGGGTTTCTAGTCTTTCTGATTATGGGTTATTCAGATTTGGATGGATTTGATAGTCTACAAGGTCCCTCTAACTATATAACTCTATGTAGAATGAATTCAAGTTTGTTATATTTATCTACTGTACTTTCACTTAGAATGCTGAGATTGTTGGTTTTTCTATATTGGCAGTAATTTCCATTTTCGGTTGAACTTCCATTAGGTTCATGTAATTTCAGCACATGGGAAAATATTTATACAGTAGCATCATGTTTCAAAACTTTCCATGAACTAAATAGCTGTGATCATCATCTATGATGGTGGTGTTGATCTTGGATTTGTAGGTTCATTTTCGTTTGTTTCTGCCTCAGTCCACCACTGACAAACTGATGTGATAATATCAATAATATCTTACAGAGATCTGAAACTGGATAATGTGCTGCTGGATCACGAGGGCCACTGCAAGCTGGCAGATTTTGGAATGTGCAAAGAAGGAATCCACGATGGGATCACCACCGCCACATTCTGTGGAACCCCTGACTATATTGCTCCAGAGGTACAGGAAAGGTTTCCATTTTATTTAAATGGTGTTTAAAACCCAAATTTCCATCATATTAATGGAGTCTGAACAAACAAATTTCATTGTAAAATCTGCTTGGCTTGGCTGGTAAAAAAAAAATCAGCATAAGCAAATAGCTGCATAATTTGTACACTTATCATCAATTTGGTGTTTAAAATTGCTCTGTAAAGCATTTGGATATATGTTTGTATGGACCTATGTGTCCATGCTTATGTCTTATATGTATCAGAGGTGGTATTCAGCAGGTTCTGACCAGTTCTGGAGAACCGGTAGCGGAAATTTTGAATAGTTTGGAGAACTGGTGGTAACCTTCCACTGCCATGCCCACCAAGCCACACCCACAGAACCAGTAGTAAAACATTTTGAATCCCACCATTGATATGTATGTAGTAGAGATGATTTACTCATGGGAGTACTCATGTACTTCTGAGTAGATAGCCCATACATGGCCAGTTTATGACGATATATCATAAAGAAATCATAAATAATTTGTTTTTTTAAATTTATAAGCAGAAGTAAATCACTTAGGGTATGGGAACAGACACAGTAATAATCCAGTGCAGAATAGGTGATTGCCCACTAGATATAACATGTATATTAGCATATTAAGCATATACAATACCATTTTATGTCTGGATATTTCAAATCATACACTGAGTTAGTATGATTTCAGATTTGGGGATTGGTTTTCTGATCCTTATAATGAGTCTCTTTCTCATTTGGCCCACACATTCATATACTTCTTGAGTTCCTTATATCTGATGTCACATGAATTGACTTCCCTGAAAATTAAATGATATAAAAATTATATCTGAAAATTAAGAGTTGTGATGACTCCTTTGTACAATATATCATTGCTTGATGCGGCATTTATCAAATGAAGATTTAAACAACAGTTAAAAAATTTTTTTTGTAACCTTGGGATAAAGTTGTCCTTGAGTCAATATGAAAATTTTATGTATTGTATTTGACATACAATTATAAGGTAACAACGCATTTATCAGGTAAAGAATAGTAAAAACTCAGAAGAGCATGAATAATTTCCACCTTTTTCTTTAATTGCAGATTTTGCAGGAGATGCTTTATGGTCCTGATGTTGACTGGTGGGCGATGGGGGTGCTCCTCTATGAGATGCTTTGTGGCCATGCTCCATTTGAAGCTGAAAATGAGGATGACCTCTTTGAAGCTATCCTCAATGATGAAATTGCCTACCCAACATGGCTCCAGGAAGATGCAGTGGCAATCTTGAAAGCTGTATGTATATCCTAATTTTTATTTGTGCTTGTAGTAGTTTCCTCTACTTAATGTGCTTTGTAAGACAGACATGAAAACCCTTAAGCCAGCTTAGATTTTAAAACAATACACAAACATACACCAGATAAAAACAATCTGGGAGAAATGCAAAAATAATAAAATCTTTAAAAGCCTAGGAAAGAGACACATCTTAGCTCGATGTGGGAGGAAAAGTAATGGTAAAATCTCCAACTTGGCCTTAATTCCTAGTATCGTCATAAAATATCCATGTAGAGTTATTGGCCACAATAAGGAAACAATTTGCTGTTGTTTTTTATTTTCCAGTCTGTTTCACAGCCCTGAGATTTCCTGGTAATTTCCACTTAAGTTTAACTTCTCTCACCCTATTTAGCCAACATGGCTAAATACTCTTACCTGGGCAAAGGTAGAGAGTGTGGGACCAGTTTCCATTTCTGAAGAAATATATTCTATAGGATGGGAGTGATGGAAGCGAACAATATATGTTCTATATGTCCCTGATTTTCAAAAAATGATTTTTTTTGTCCTGATAGGTTTATGACCCCCTGCCTCCATTCTTCTGTGACTCCTTATTGTAGCTTATGAATAGTTGCCTCAAAGTGCTACCAAGATGAGTTATGTTTTATGTTTATGGAGTTTATGTCATTCTCTTTGCTTTTTTCTATTTAACAAAATGTGAAACACATCTTGTTAAGAGAGAGTCAACTGTTCCATGGGCACAGCTAGTTATGCGGGGCATGACATGGGCTGAATTTGATCTACGATTTCTCTAGTGTAATTATAGTTGTGTAACTGAACCAAACTACTACCCGTCTTTATCTTTATGGCTGCTGTGGCTTTAAATATATGCTTTGTACTCCAAAAATGCTGTTTGCAAACCTTCAAAAGGAAAATAATATACTTAATAAAATGATGAAAATTTCATGGAACCATTGAAATATAATGACATATTTCATGAGACCTTGGTATTCTCTTAGGAGTTCTCAATAATCTGATAAGAGTGGTATCCAGGGTTTACTCAGAGGCTACCAATGCCTTCTTTAGACTAGACTCTAGCAGGTCAAATTATGTTAAAGCTGGAAAAGTTAAATTCAAATCATGTATTGCCATGAATATTATCTCACGAAAAACAAGAACTAAACCAAAAACAAGACAGAACAAGACAGGTGGTGTCTACAATTCCTTATTTTGTTCTTTGGAGGTGGCCTCTGTTGAGGTAATTCCCCTTTAGGAGAATGAGCGCAGACAGGGAGACGTATAGAGAGTAGTGTTTGAATAATACACACACAGTACACAGATACACTGAACAGTAAATGTAGGTTTTTACTTCCAGAAAGTTTAAGCAAAGTTCAAGATAAGCAGTCCAAAGTCATTTATAGGTAAATCAGTCAGTTTTTCAATCCAGGTATTCCAATAACAAATTCCAGTGTCAAAAACAGTTCAGTAACAAACTTACATCAAATCCAGAAAATATCAGTCAATTAGGAAAAATGGAGCAACGGCAATATTTTCCAACAGAAGGAAACAGAGATACACTCTCTTCTGAGACTCAGACTAAGACTAAACAACCCAGGTTTCTGGCTCTATCTTATGGCCATTTGAGAAACCACACCCAATTGCATGCTCTTGCATTCCCTTAAAGAGACAGTATTAAAATGTCTATCCTGGTTTATATATTTCTAACCCAAATAGCTGTTAGGTGACTCATATTCCCAACAGCCTCTGAAACAAAACAGTAATTTTCTCTTTAGTTCCAGATCCTTTGAATGGAAAGAATCAGGAGGAAAACAATAGTGATGACAAGGAGATGCTTGTTTGGACCTAAAAAACTCTTATTTTGCTTCCCCCCCATGACTTATTTTAATGAACAAATCTGTAGGTTCCAGGGTTCCGAGGCCACTAATACTTCTATGCAATAAGAAAGCCAGTTAAAAGTATTGTCCAAATACAACTCGTTCATTTTTAAAATGCTTATATTTTAAAGAGAGGGGCTTTGGCACATGTTTTCATCCAAACCTGGGGACTTTTGTTGCTGCATTTCACTAGCAGGCAGAGGTTCTTCCTGACCCCTCATTGCTCAAGCTGACATGGCTGTGGTGGGAAGGAATTAGCTCTGATCATGGGAAGCTCAGCTGCAATGCCCCTCTCCTTTACTACTATTATGAAATATAAAAGAGTCTTTTGCTTTTTGAGTTTTGCGTACGCTATGTTAGTCCTGATCTCAAGTTCTCGGATTATGAATTTATTTGTTTGGATATTTATTTTATTCAGGTAAGTCTGGGCAGCTTACAGTCATAAAAAATAAAAATTATATAAACTAAAAACGTAAATACGTTAGTACAAAATCCAAATACTATGGCACAATTAAAAGATCTGCTGTTAATCTATCAACCATCCTCAATATAACCCCACCTCTATTGTGGCAGAGACAGTCTTTAGGCTCTTATGGAAGGTCAGAAGAGGCGGGGCTGACCTCAGTCCAAGGAGCAAGATGTTCCCCAGGGCAAATACAATGGGAAGGAAAGCCCTTCTCTTGGATCCCTCCAGCTGGGATAATCAGGCTGATGAGACCCACAGCATGCCTCCTTTTCCAGGATGTATGGGGTTGGCCAATCCCAGTGTGGTGAGATGGTCCCTCAAGTACCTTGGACATGAATGGCTTTAAAGGTGATTATGAATGTATTTGTGGACCAAATCAGTGAGCTAAATACTGTGAAGCTGGCCTGGTCTGGTTGGTCTTGCAGTCTTTAACAAAACCGAAATCGGTGGACTGCTGTAGTTTTGATGGACACCCATGGGGGAACATAAATATTTATTTGACACAGAGCAATGACTGGGAATGTAGTGACAGGTATAAGTGGACTTTGGGTAAATGTTGCAGACTACCTTCATTACATATTGACTAGGCTGGGCAACCCATTGCATAGCCATAAAGAGACATAGAACATTCCATTTCTTTTCTAAGTTCTAGTGCTTATTCAGATTCCTGCAGCCCAGATCTAGCAGTTCTAGCACTGATACAGACTGCCAGCACTGCTCCACCCGTGGGAGCATCCTGGGCCACTGTGACCGCTATTTCATCAACTTGGGCGTGCAAGCCCCAGGCACCAAGTTAGGTCTGCTCTTTTGAAACTAGCTATTAGTTCTTCAATGATCGTGAGTCCTAGTTTGAAAAGTTTGCCTTGAAGGCCAGGGAACTCTACTGATGTCATTGGACCCAACGAAATACATTGAGAAACAGGTCTTTTTAATTCAGTCCGTATGCTGCATGAAACCCTTAGCCCTCCATTTTTGGCTTTTAGTATCCCAACATCATATTGCCAAAAACTGGCATTGTAACTCCTGATTTTCATCTGCATTTTTAAAAAAATGTGACTACGGAGAATAGGTACAGGGGGCTTCTGGGAGACAAATGGCTTTGACTTCCATCTTTAAACATTCTCCCAAAGAAGCCCTAAATTGTGCTTCAGAAATATGACCATCTTGTGCTGCGGTGGCAGTGGTTAGAATGCAGTATTGCAGGCTACTTTTGTTGACTGCTGGTTGACTGCAATTTGGCAGTTCAATTCTCACCCGGCTCTAGCTTGACTTAGCCTTCCATCCTTCTGAGGTCAGTAAAATGAGAATCCAGATTGTTGGGAGCAATATGCTGACTCTATAAACTGCTTAGAGAGGGCTGTAAAAGCACTGTGAAACAGTATATGACTCTAAATGCTACTGCTATTGCTATTGCTGAAGTACTTCAGTCTAGTTTTAAGCTGTTTCCTTGGGGCCAGATTTTACTAACGACCCCTATGGGAAAGGTTTATTTTATTTTATTTTATA